CTTCTTTTGTTGATCTTGTTTTTGACCCTGAACCTCGTTCCGGGTGCATCAAATTTTGCTATACTAACTTCTTGACTAGCGACGCGTCCAAATCCGACTCTACATTTAACGCGCCTCATACATGTGGCGCGACCAAATGTGTGGACAAGGAGCGAAAGAAGAAGCTGGCCAGGGCGGAGGGGGAGCTTTTAGGACGAAAGTGAAAGGAAGTCTGAGAATTGATGGGTCGGAACGGGGTCAACGAGAGCGGTTTTGATAGTCTGGGTTGGGTCTTGGGTATGAAATGATAGAGACGGCCTGCAGTGTATGTTAAAACGTATGCCTGATATGCCACGAGACCGACCGTCCTTCGCCACAGTGTTTGAGTGCTTCGGGTAAGGAAGAGCTGATGTGGAGACTTCAGAAAGATGTCGTTACCTGTGCCTTTCCAAGTGAGAGAAACATGAGTGGTTCGATTAGTACATGTGTGTATTGCTTAAATCCATCGCATGTCATCATTCTCCCTTCCTAAATTCTAACCGGCAAATAAAATGCAGAACGCCATAAAACCTCGTAAAGACCAATAAAATTCCGAATTCATCAGCTCTTTAAATAAATGGGGAAAGCCTTTCTCTTGTATGCGTAAACTTCGTAAAGGATGCTCCAAGCACTACTCAGTCCTTGTATAAACAGATTTCTGGCGCCATCGAGCTCCATATCGCAGTATCAGGACAGGAAGTGGAATTACTATTAAACAGACAGCTGCCAAAACGAGGAAACCATAACCAAGTCCAAGCGCATCAGTCAGAAGTGGAATGCATAGAGGCAGCAGAGTTCCCATAGAGCAACGAGTGAGAAGCACCACCGTCATAGCAGAAGCGGAGTAGATGCCAAAAGAATCCACGATGTATGAAGACATCGGTATCATGACGCACATCGCTACGAATCCAAGCGATGCAACCACTAGCAAGAGAAGGTAGATCGGCCAGCGAGAGTATGGAATCCACCCATAGAATCCAACAACAAATGGCAGGAGAGAAGCTCCACCTATCATAAAAGGCAGGCGGAATTCTGGACGGGCAGCTCCTCCATTATTTCTCGTAAGTTTGACATAGATGCGGTCTACTGAGAGATTGCACACTATGATTCCCAAAAAGGCACCCGTACCTGGTGTTGTTAGCATAAGAAAGCTACCCAGGAATAAGCAAACTCACTGAAGCTGATGAATACAGAACCGGTCTTGGCGGGCGAAAAGCCGTAGATATCTTTCAAAATACCAGGCAAAGTTGTAGCCAGGATATAGTAGAAAGTGAAAGCGAAGCCACTGTAAAAGGACATAATTTGTAGCACCAGAGAACTGTACATCACCAGGAAAGGCCGTGTGATGGCCGTCCGCAGTTTTGCCCAGGACTGTACCGAGTCTCCATCTTCAGTTTCCCACAAGCACTTCAAAGACTTATCATTAGTCTCTTTCCGTAGCCGAGCTGCTCTACGCTGTAGAATTGTGACTTTGTAAGTTTCTCGGAGAAAAGTACAGAAAAGTATCTCGCACAGGGTGGCTAATCCAGCACATAGCCAAAGGATATTTCTCCAGCCTACCGTCTCAGCTAGTAGTCCACTAATGGTAGGACCAATCGTTCCGCCTACGAGCGGTGCAAGCATGACAAGTGACATGCCAGAACCTCTTGACTCTGAGTTGTAAATGTCGCCGATTATGGCGGGATTGAGGACATTCGAAGCCACAGCAAACCCGGTCAGAAGGCGGGAGAAAATGAAAATGTTGGCTGTGTGACTCAAAGCTCCGAGCACAACTCCAAAAATAAAGATTATGTTGGCAACGTTGAAGACAGGATAACGTCCATAGATTTCGGACAATGGTGCCATCAGAAATGGTCCGGCAGCTTCTCCCAACTCCCAGACGGTGACGAGCAAAATGCGGGCTGTCTTGCTCTCACCGCCACCCAGGTCGAAAACGATCCGATCTGCTACAGGGACTACTCCGATACATGTAAACGAGCTAAAGACCATGTTAGAAGGGGAATGATAATAATTAGTTTATTCTACTTACACCACAAAAGCCATAAAGCTGAGCAACGACACAACCTCCAATTTATAGGCATTTGACCAGTCCAATGGATTCTCACTGTCTCCGTCCGGACTGAAGTCGACTAATTCCTGGTCTCCATTTCTAATTGACTCTGTGCGTGCCTGTCCTAGCAATGGCTCGGTTTCTTCTGTCATGATAATAATGATGTCAAGATAATTCCCCAAAAACAGAAATCTCAAGAGTCGCGCCCAAGAGTGGGGTGGACTATTAGTCTTATGACGAGGAGCTTTTCAATCCTGGCCCCGAAGGAAGCTGAAGTTCAACGAATATGAATTGGATACAACAGATTTTTGGTAGAAGAACAAAGTGACTTTGATATGCGAAAGAACTGACAAATCAAAGACGATTTCTGTCTGGCAAAAGTTCAGGGATGTGTCGGGAAGCTAGATATGGGCCACAGTAGAAAGACGTCAGATTGGCGGGATCCGACGCTACTGACAAAGCTTTAGCCAAGCCCCTGCTCGCTTATGTTGCCCTACCCGAGCCCAAGGCCTTCCGAGTGTTGATGTAAACATTAACTTAAAAGGAATTGACATAAGCAGGACTTTCTGAGAGAATTGCGCCGAAGATTGCTTCGCTTGGCTGGCGTTTCATCAGGCATTGTATTATGGTATACTGCTTACCTTGTAAAATACTGTACGCTACAGTGGTGTGGGTCCCGTGTCCTCTTCGGCTACTGTTTCCGATGAAAATTTCGATATTCACGATAGGATCAACCAAATCGCTCCTTACAAATAACCTAGTACACTATACAGAAGCTACCATCATATCTAGCTGTCCTTTTAACACCGGATGGCCACTCATGAGGTTTCTCGATTAGGGATTTGATGTATATATCGACCAGGGAAGTTCCACAACGCTTGATACTTTATATTTTTGAGGAAGGAGGTTTGGATCTATACCTAATGAAACATGTGACAGTGTTTGAGGCCTAAAGTTTTGAGACCTGGGTCTCTTTGTGCCTTTCCCTATAGATCGCATCACATCGATATTCCGCCGCACATGGGCACACTTTGATAGATCAGACACGAGATCCAGTAAAGAGTTTCAAAGATACAAAACTACGGATCCCAAAGAATTCTTTGAGTGCCGTGTTAAGAGAAAATGGTTTGCCGCAAGTCACATCCTGATACATTAGATAGAGCATGACGCTGAAGTGATAAAGAGCCTTCGCGAAGCGTCTCTTAGCCAAGAATGAATTATTGAAATAAGGAGCCATTCCTCGCCTGGTACCGATTCATCTCCCAGTGAATAGAACAAAGAACCAAATGAGCTGGTGGTGTCTGCTAGTATATTCTCCAACAAGCTCGCTACATGAACGTCAGGCAGCGCAAAAAGCGCCAAGATGAGCTCTCAAGGCAACAAAATATAAGCAGTGTACTTGAGCCTACAACTACTTCGGACCTTTAAGCTTTAATGATCATCTGCATGACTCATCCGCACGATCATACATTGCCATCCTTCCATACTACGCTGAATTTCCAAAATCTCACCAATACCGGCAGCAAAATTCGCGAGTCAAGAGAACTTCCCTCAAAGTCGACATGGCAATGAATACCTTCCACCCATTTCCCCGTCTTCCCACCGAGCTGCGCTTCAAAATCTTCTGATATGCACTAACAATCTTTTAGCGCATCTTTCAGGTCAAAGTGGTTTACTCTTTGAACTTGTTCTCCAATGAAGAAGACATCTGCGATCTCGCATTGTCTTCGGCCTTTTCGACTTCAAATCCAACACTTCTCCATGTCAATCACGAGACACGAACCGAGCTTTTCAAATCCTACGCGACGCCTTTCAATTCCCAAGCGTTGCCAAAGGTCAAGGACTTGGTATTCAGCTGGGAGCATGATACACTCCTGGTCGAACTAGATAAAACAGAAATATTTTCTCGAAGAAGCCATCCAGCATGGACGAGACAGGTCACGACTCGGTTGCTGGCTCTGGACGATCCATTCGCCAGCTTGTTCAGTGCCGAGGGTAGCGAGGAGTCGAGGAAGAGACTGCGCTACCTAGCTGGGAACGGTGAACCACATCAATTTTGGATCCAAGTACCAATAGCTCTACCAGCAAAGCGACCACTATTATACGGCTTCAAAGGGCTGGAGGATTACACCCTTGTCTGCAGAGATGTACGCGAGTTGTCTGGCTCCATGAAATTGCTGAGATGGCGATATACGGGCTGGGAGGAACGTGACACTTCGGCAGACGAGCTCGGTCTGAAGACGGTATTCCCGGCATTGTTAGTACGTTGCGTAAAGTTGGTTCGGGAATAGTGGTGACTACTAAGTGGTAGTGTTTTGGGATTACTTGCGAGCTTTTCATTTGACTATTCGTTTTCGATGCTTTCTCTATCCTGGCAAAGGTGCTAAGGAGGATCATGGACCTGGGTCTGCAGCATATTGTGAGCTTGACGGGTTGCTGTCTAGCAATCTAGTCACGGTCACTCTGACGACGTTGTGGTCTGTCCTCCGAGCCCTGGTCCCTAGCTGTCAACATGAGAAAATGGAAGCACAGTCCCGGACCCCCCGTAGCACTACTCCTGTGACCTCCGTGTGATGCTCCAAAAACTTTCACATCAGCGCTCGTGCTTGGATCCAGTAGGCAAGAATTTTGCAGTCGGCGAGCAAGAGCTCACAATAGAGTAATGGAATATCTAGACGAAGCATTCCAGCCGAATGAATTTGGGAAAAAAAAGCTCTTTGGCCTCCGAGATCGTTCTATTGTATAACTGTTAAGCGAGAAGAGGCTGGCTGGCTGCAGATCACCTTACTTTCAGACTAGATGACAAAAGTAAAGACATGAAAGATGTGAAAAAGGAACAAAGCATACGGACACTCAAGTGATATATATATATATATACCAGTAGCAGTTACTTACGTAGCCTGCAAAAAATCCAGACAAAAACCAAAAAAACTGGACGATCAGGGAATCGAACCCTGGACCACCTCTAGGTTGAATGGATGAATTCATTCTATGCTCTGTATGGGATTAGTAACCGTCCTTGCGGATGACGAGGAAGAGGAGACGTACAAAGAGGTATTATACCACTAAACCAATCGCCCCGTTCTCATTGGATGAGCTGTTATGGTTGAACGACATTATTCAAATACATAATTCTTTTGAACATTTCTGATAATGCGTGTGTGAAGTCTTGGCTTGATCCGGGCACAAGGGCTGCAGAGATACTGGTATGCGAATGGGCTAGTACGATCACGCAGCCTTGTTATTGGACAAATAATAGATATAATGAGACATGTATCCTTCCTTCTTTCCAATTGTGCTTCGGAGTGGGTCTTAGGGCTAGCTGTAGCTGTGGGACGTAGCAGGGGACAACATAACATGACTAAGCAGATCCAAGAAAAACACATTCTTCATTCGTTCTTCAGATCGATGAATATATGTATCTCTAAGAAGCGAAGAATCTAATGGTGTTTACCTGCGATAGCTAGACGAGGGTGAAGCTTTTGGCATCTCGTTGGGTCACGATGTATTTACGGTATCATCACTGGGGAAGCCAAGCGAGGTAACCACAAAGACGTCTCCATTACTTCAGAATTAAGTGGTTCCGGGAACTGCAAGAGCCTTCAGACATGCACACAAAGTCATAGTATAGTTCCAGATCGTTTTTCATGGCCAAAAATAATCGATGTCGACGAGGGTTCTGAGCCTAGTTTCGTGGTTCAGAACTGTGCCCCCGAAAAGTTGTAAACTTGGTGCATCTCATCCCCAGGCTGGCACCCAAGTCTTCACTAACCCCAAACATCTATCATACGATATAATTATAAACACCTTACTATTGATATGAAACTCCTAAAGAGGTCATGGGGAATCGCCAACTTGGAAACATAAAGTTGTTTTTATGGACGCCTTTACTGTCTGAGCTGCTCAATAAAAAGCCGCAGATTTTAGGCTTCACCCATTTTAGAGGCGCGCAAGATTTCTGATGGCTTCATGATCTCAGATTACATGGACTGCCATGAGATAAAAGCTGAGAATAAAAATTGCCCCGTAATCCATGGTGGGAGTGTTCATGAGGAGTTTATGCCCGTGCTAGGTGTCGACCTTGATTTGAACATGAAGCTGAGCTTGACACGAAAGACATCTCATACGGAATGGGAGTACCAGATTTGTTTTGCAATCATATTTACTCATGCGTATGCACATCTCTCACTGTAAGTCATATCCTGGTATGCAGTCTTGCACCTAAAGATATTCTGTATGTTCATCTCCCTCAAGCCCAATATCCAGATCACTTCACGCAACCGCTGAAGAGTCCCCAGACTTGCCACTCACTCTTAAAACCATATTGCAAGCCTCCACAAATAAAGAGTGGTTTATCATCCGGGCTATATCTACCTCCGAAAAAGCATCTTATCGCTAGGCGAGAAGAGCGTTGCCTCCCGCTTAGGTAGATTTACGACCGACCCAGGCGGAGGTAGAGGCGAGACAGTCAGAAACTTTAGAAATGTGTCTCATCCCTCTAAGTCATGTAAAAACATTCTCTCCGATGGAACTCAGTTAGCGAGTAAGCTGGACCTATAACATGGCCTATGGAAATATGTAGACCAATTCAAACAAAATCAACTTCGTCACTTCGTCCTCACCTTAAAACCCTTCGAAAAAGTACTATGCAGCTATTTGATCCTCTCATTACATCACCTCGGTCCTGCAGCCCAACAATCACCCACTTCCTGGTATATCCTTCACGCTTCCCCAAGGTTCAAGACAAAGAGCTAGATAGTCCCAACATCGTGAAACACTGGTAATGAAAAATAGGTATCTTCCTCCAAATTTGGGAGGTGGGAGCGAGGTATTCATACATCTTAAAAAGTAAGTGATAGATGAAGCCGTGGCCACGCTTGAGCTTATTTCAACACCATACTAAACTCCAAGCCCAAAAGAAAATCCCAAGCACCCCACGAATAAAATTCCAGCTGAGGGAGTAAAGACATAAATGTAAAATTTTAGGACCGGAACGAAGCATCCCAATCGAAGCGCGCTTCAGCAGGGGTTAGTAAGAACCGATGCAAGGATTCCACTTCACAATAACAACAACCCCAAATGAAGCAACGCCGGCGTACCCTGGTCCAGAGTATCCTGCTGATGAAGATGCTTCTATTCGCAGCAGAGCACGGTCATGAAATAGAATACAATCATGGACACGGAACGAAATGACCGACTTGTCAACTCGCAGCTCTGAGGAAACTTTTGCACCAAACTAGAGAGAGAGAGAAAGACGAGGAATAGATGAAAACCCGCTGGTGGAAGAATGATTTCAGGTGTCTATCTTTTCGCTGACGTCCTTCAACATTATCGAATCGCAATCTCCAAGTTGCACCACCGTGCCGTTTGATGCTCTCGATGGGTTGTCTTCTTAGGTTCGAAACCTCCCGTACGGTTAACGGGGATTGTTGGGAGTACCAGCTGGATTTCGGCCTCATGACCGTCTTCAAGCTGCTGGAATGGCAAACGTGGATCCATTCTGCCCTCTCGTGCAGGACTGAGAGAGAAGCCAGTTATGAGGACGCCCATAAATAAAATCTCTTCTTGATCTCATGTTCGAAACCTTACACCGAAGGGAGCCAAGCAATGTAGACGGTTTTTAATTAATAAAAGAAAACATGAGAGCTCTAAAGGCAAAGCAGAGATGATGCAGAGAAAACTGGGGATGTAAAGAGAGATCTCTAGAATGAGTTTTTGGAGCGCAGTGCTCCGGTAGATATGTCGAATCGAATCTTCCCAGAGACACAGAGTGGAATAGATGTACGCTGACCGCCTTTCGTTCACGTGCTCACTATCAGATCAGATCAGATCAGTCCAAGTGTGCTTTACCTTCGCCAAGCGAATCTCCAAAAAGCCTCGCTATTTTTTTTCCGCTGGTGGACTGGAAGTGGAATGGAGTGGAGTGATGAGTGCAGTGCTACTGTACCTCAGAGACAGTACGAATGTTGAGCAATAGCAAGGATGTTCCCGATGACTTCCAAGCATGGTACTGTAGGTAGGTACGAGTTTAATCCTTACCAAGTATGCAATTAGTTCGTTCCCTCGAAGCACCCTATCTTTTCCTTGGGAGAAACGACTTCTGGGATGACTCAACGTGCCTAGACGACTTCACTCTCTTCTTTGCTTGGAATTGAAGTTCGACTCTGCCAGATGGGTTACATCAAAAAGAATTCTAGCGAACATGGTAATTCTAGCAGAACCTCCTCCGGTGCTTTACGAATCGCAAGACTAAACCAGACAGGAGGATAGATAAATCGGGAAAATCGAGATACTCGCAGCTCGCTTGGGCAGAGCAAGACAACAATAATAACACCAATATCTATTGATGTAAAAATTCTACTCCGCAACTCAAGCCTGGCATCATCTATCTACATATGCAGCCCAAGCTTTTGATTGACCCTCCGTTGCTGCAGACCTCCTAACGAGTAGTCGATTTTCTCGAAAAGGAAGGAATCCCGAGATTATTCCCCAACACCCATCTGTCGAGGACAGGCCGCGAAAAGAAAAGGCGTCGAGCGATTGCTGTACAATTTGAGGTAGGTCATCACTTGAGCACGCTTAGCATTTATTCTACAATGGATATATAAAGGCCCAGCTCATATCTCTATACCAGGCTAACTGGAATGGCTACCTCATAAGCCTCATAACCCAAGTAGACAATCACAATTCTTCAGAGACGGAGAAGTTTGGATCTCGGCCCGAAGATAGGGCGGGCTTCATTCTGAGATGAGTCACGATAGTGTGGCGATCAGACACGCCGTTGATGATGTCTCAAAACATCATCAGCTCTGGCCCGGCTTTTTCTGATCTAATCTGACAAGTGACAAACCTCGTGATTACGATATTGCCACTGTGACTCGACGGTCACTAGCATGGAGCTGACTGAAAGCGCTCCGGCCGCTGCCGCTCTAGATTGTGTTGGAGCCTGAGCGGGTCTCGAAGTGGCGAGTGGTTCATCTGGGGCTCAATGATAAATTTAGAACTCACTTCTGAGGTCTGCAGGAGAAAGGGTGCACGTAGCCTCTATTTGCTCATATGAAAGTGGCTCACTGCTTTAGAGGTTACGAGGTATTTCGAGTAGATTTCTATGAGACCGTCGTGTCATGATGATTGCCACTGGAGGGGGTCTTTGCCTGAAGCCCGTAGTAAGTATTTCTCAGACGGACCTCGGGTGAGCTCACAGGTGAAGTAGATGACTGATAGATCCCAGCTCATCGGTCCGTATTTATCTGACGAGTCACGATGAATAGTAGAAGGATACTGAGTAGATCCGCGCCTAGAGGTCATGTCAGATGCGAATTCATGGTCAAAGATTGCCTGACACCTTGAGTAGGAAGCTTCAGGCTGAGCCTCGTCGTATTCGTGTTCGAAGATTCCCTTCACGATGATGCATAATGCAATCTCGATTTCGCCTGCCCGGCTGGAAAGCAGCACCCCTTTGACCGCTCTTCGACTTCGAGTAGGTGTAGAGGAGGCGACAGAATCGTGGCAGCCTGAAAAGACCACTGAATACCCGTATGACAGGAATAATCTTCAACTATTATCAACCTCGAGCCTCATTAAGCACCTCATTGGAGCTCGCCTAGATTGGTTGGCATGGTGATCCATGAATGACCGTCATCCGACCTCGGCGCTTTCTATCTTCCTACAGGACAATATTTCAAATTGATAGAAGGAAAGGCCTCACGAGACTACTGACAACTCTTATCTTGACCGGGGATGAGACAAGACGAGAATCATCCCAGCTGGCGCTTGCGTTCTGTTGCAGCTGGGCAGGTGATAACATCGTGACTCACACCTGTAAGAGACCCGGCCCACTGGGGCGAACGTCCACGTGCCGTGTACTCTAATCAACTCTATTGGACTTGGTTGAATCTGGCTAAGAACAAGGATAAGGATATTTTAGAGCAAGAAGTAATGTGTGACTATAAGAAGTGAATACTAAGTAAGTCTTCTAAAGTAGAACATCCAGAGAAGGGAGATGTGAAACAGGTACAAATCTTGGTTCGTCCAATTCAGTATCTAATCATCGCGCATGCACCTGAAATGGAAACAACTG